CCTCTGGCAAGAAGAGGTGTTTGTAACCGCAGCTAATGCAATCTCTATTATGGAGATCAATCATTCTGTCAAGCATCCATGAAATTAACTTGGTGCTGACAGTACCGCAAATGATCCCGAGACCGCAAATGATCGCCAAAATCGACTGCAAATGATCCTCAAAGTCGACCGCAAATGATCCCGTTTAAAATTGTGGAATTGAAAGGGTTTTATGGGACTGATTATAAAAAAAGAACCTTTTCTCTTCCTTTCTAAACAAAAAAGGGAAGGAGGACGCCACATCTCAGGTCAATTTATACTGAAGGCGAAAAAAAAAAATGGAATAAATCTGAAAATAATATGGTATCAACCGTATACTTATTCCTTTGTCAGTTGCTTCAAAATTTTTTCAAGAACAGTTTCGTTAAGACAGGAAGGACGTTACGCAGAAAACACTATTATTTTAACGCCTAGAAGCTCAACTTGTCTACTGCGGAATACAAAGCCGGGCACACTCAGTCTACATAACCAGCGCTTTATTGTCTTTACTGATCTTTTTGGAAGTGTCGAATTAATTTTCAGAATATGTAATTTTGATTTTTATCTGAAGTGTTAATTTTATGTGATAAACAGCAAGACATTTGTTCGTGACTTAGGTGCCCGTTACGAAACAAAACGTCAAAATGGCCTTATCAATGTCCAATTGCTTAAAGCTCATGAACATGGATACTAGTTACGAATAGTTATATTGACGCTTATATGTCTGTGTTATTTTCCTAAAAGGTGCCCGCTAAGTTTTCGCTTGAGCACGGTCATCGCCCGTGTTCAAAGTCAGTGTAGCCGGGTATCCAGGCTTATTAAGTGCTTATCCGAGCCCAGCAGAGAGCAGAGAGCAGAGAGCCCAGGCCCAGACCTATCCGTGGGTGGGTGGCTGACTTGTTTTGTGTGAAAACTAGAGGGGTAGGGAGGATAGATTTTTTTCACCTTGATTTGATTGATTGCTGCCTGCCTTGTCTCCTTCTTTAGTTCTAACCGCCGAGGTCAAATATTCATCTCGCAAAATAGCGCTTAAAACAGCACGGGACGGCGAAAAAAACATGACACATGACTCAGTGAACATTTTCAAACTTTCCTTGAAAAATTTGTTTTAAATTCTGCATTTTGGAACAAATTATAGCCACCGTGTTGTTCATATGTATTTCTTCTATAAACAACAAAAGATCGTTGCTCAGATTTCAATCAACGACGGCCCCCACTAACAGAGGGTGGTCTCCCTGTGGTTTTATGTCAGAAAACTTGTATGAAATATGAAATCCACACAGATGTATATCCATTTGTTGTTCCTTTGCTGGAGACAGTTAACAGGAATTTAAACCTGGCAATGAGAAACGCAAAAGCGAGGTAGGCGGTAGTTATCTCGTGATAAAACATGGCAGGAAACCGTCCCATTCACGGACAAAAATAAAATTGCTTATAATTGATCGGACCCAGGAGGCAATTTAAGAAAATTAAACAACCTAAAACCCTTATTTAGCCGCAATGAAGAGCTTTGCATTTCAAAAGAGGTCAAAGGAAATCCTCTTGCATCAAAGGGCAAATCATGCCGACCGGAAACAATGACCGCAGAAAATCAATATGAGTGTCATGACCTCTCAGTATGAAATAGCGGCAAAAATCACATTAATTCTCAGTCAAAACGTTTTCCTCCAGAGGTGTAATCTACCCGCCAGAGAAAGAAAAATCATAGGAACAAGCAGCATGTTGACATGTGGTAAAAGTCGTGTGTTTCCTACCGCTTCGTTTTTACACTTGAATGACTTTTTTTTTTTTCATTTAGTTTTTATTCATGTTTTTGTATTCATATTCATATCCATTCCCTGTTGATGATAGCGTCGTGATGTCGCCAGAACGTCGGAACTATATTTTGTTACTTTGTACATGTTTATGTTTCAATAAATTAGTACAGACAGAGACACAAAAACAAATATGCCTCGATCAAAATTAAATTTGACAGATTAAAAGATGGGGCACCATTTTATGGCCTAGGAGAGCGAACCTACATTTTTTTTCCCCTTCCCCCAATTCCCTGCGTGTTGTAAAAAGATGCAGTTCCGCATATCAGATTGGGCCATTTTTTCTCCAATTAATCGCGTCATGTCGAATGCTACTAAGATCATGGGCAATGATGGGGTTACTGGGTGCACGGGTTTCGAGAACATGGAAAATTGAAACACAGCTTAAACCACTTTCAGCTACTTCGTTATTCATTCCTCTTTAATTAAATAATTTAATTTAACCCTATTCAGACTGGGGGGGGGGGGCTTTTCGAACCCTCCCTCCGGCAAAATCGTGATAACTCCTACACCGAAAGAGCTATGACGTTCAAATTTTCTGACTTTTCCTAAAATTTATCTAGGAACATTTTGGTATAATTACCATGTCCATGTGATTAATCATGTTGCCATGGCAACCAGTTTCTGACTCATAGGTTTTGGAAAATTTAAAAAATGGTGATTTTTTTGTTTTAAGATCGCGTTTTTACACTTATAGTGCTTTTTGTAGTTAAAATGGTCTTTTCTTGGGACTAGTTTTTGAATTACATCAAAATGTTTCAACATCGAATATTTGGGGGGGAGGGGTGGGGTAAAATTTGTCACTTTTTTGCTTTGACAAATATGCTCCTCTATTTTCCAAATAACACTTCCAGAGCCATTTGTTTGGGTAATAAACATTAGTTTGATACTTCTTTTATACATTCTGAGCTTTTTCCCCATTGAAAGTTGCTTTAAATTATAATTTTAACAAAAAAACGGAAATCCAAGATGGCGGATCCAAGATGGCGGATCCAAGATGGCGGACAACCATTTCAAATTTTGAATTTTATTGCTTCCTATTGCTTTTTCTCGCTGTACAAGTGTTTCCTTGTTACTAGTTCATAAGAAAGGATAACAAAGAGATGATTTTACCAATGTTATTAATATTTTACGTATCTAAGTGGAAAAAGAATAAGAAACATTGAAAAATCGGAATATGACGTCACTGTGACGCCATCATTGGGCGTGGCAAGTCAAAACTGGGTGTGGGGCTTCTTTGTACGGAGATGATCATTGTGTGTAAATTTCATGACCCTAGCATTATTGGTTCCAGAGATATAGGGGGGGTCCGAGGAGCCCCCCCGAGTCACAGATTGACCAAAAAAGCCCAGTCTGAATAGGGTTAATTATTTAATTCATTTATCTTTTTTAATTACATTTCTCCATCTCCCCGTACTTTTCCCCCCAACCATTTTTCTTCCCATCGTGTCCTTGCCGCAAATGATAAGCCGATTTGAAATTATGAACCCGATTGCCCCTGAATTGTACGAGACAAGGGCTGGAAAAATGCAATAAACTCAGAATTGGAATATTTATTAAAGTTAGACTGTACAATTATGCTTATTACATCAGCTAATGGCTGGCCGAAGCAAAACGAACATTGCTTGCCTATACAACTTCTGGAGAAACTACCGGAATATTAGCTGCCCTAAGTAAATGAATATTTTTAATACACGTTTTTAATTAAGTGTGTTGAACTGAAGCCGGATAACTTGCTGATTGAAGTTTTTTTCTAGGCATTGATTTCCTAGCAGCGACTAATACTTGTTTAAAATAAAGCTCATTTGCCCGCAACATTTCATGCAAGAATTTCATGGTCGTTCAACTGTCAAATTCGGCCTGTCGGAATAGCACGGAATACAAGCAGATTCTTATCGGAAGGTCAAATTGGACAGTTCTAAAGCTGCAGCTAAATTAAGCGATGAATGAAGCCTACTGAGAACCAATACGAATCGAACATTTTATTATTTCACAATGATAATAATAACAATCATAATCACAATCAAGGCAGAAACGATCAATTTGTAGCTAGAAATATGCCGACATATGTACCAAAAACAATGCTAGCGGTTATGCTGTTCAGGATACTAAAAGTCATGTGATAAGCCCATTCTGTCTCAGGAGTTAAGAACCGGATACATAGAGCTCGATAAATATTCCATTTAGATTTAAAAAATGATAGTGAAAGAAATTTTCATTGGGTGGATTGGTATCATGTTTAATTATTTCTGTCTCATGTACAATTATGATATTGCATGGTCAAGTGCGTTACGATAATTTCTTTGACGCATGCACGTACTCGTCACAATTAGTTAAAAGTATAGCCTTGTCTTCCTTGTCTTCTTTAATTGTCAAATTAACTATAATCAGTAGAGATACAGAAAAAAAAACACGCCTTATTAAGACGAGCTTCTAAAATTAACCAACAAAACCTCTAACCATAACCATCAAAAGAAGCACGTATTTAAATTCCCTTCACACAATATCAGTCACCACTTCTCAGTCAATAGCATGCTGTTGAAACCTGGAGTCCAAAAATATTACAAACCAAAACTTTTCTTTGATCTTATCATTAGTAAGAAGAACGTGCCGTAAGACACACTCACAAAGGGAGGGCCTTATGGAAGGCCTAAATGAATACAAAACTACGACAGGCGATAAGAAGCCTGTTTTTGAAGAAAAACGTCCCAACCAAAAAAAAAATGTTAGAGGTAGAATTAAAAGTGTTTAAGCCAGATTAAAAAAACAAAACATTCATATCGTATAAGTTATAAATATATTGTCCCTTGCTCATTTCACCACTTATGATTTTTGGTCAAATATCACGTTCTTTTCTGTCTGTAGTAAAAAGTCTCTGTAGCCATGGCGTACTCTACATTTACAATTTATATTATTTTTGACTCATTTTTGCGTTTACAAGTGATCGGTTTAGGAAATTTAAATCGATATAATGATGGCTTTCCTAAACTCTCAAGTAATAAAACTAATTCACTATCCACCTTTAGTAATGCATTTGGTTAAGTACTCTCAAGTACCCTCTCATTTGAAGTAAAGTCCTTGCACAGTGGTTCTGTCTCGAATCCATATTGTCCCTGATGGCATGAACTCAAAAGGACAATGATAGTTCAGACTTTGTAGAACTGTGTATGTGAGCATCCCGAACACTTGCAGCAATGGCGTTTTCTCTTTGGCTTACAATGGTTCTTCTGTTAGCAGCTATTGCTGGGCTGGAAGGTAAGCTGGTGAGTGCGTTGTGGATGAATCTTGAACGTTAAAAAGATGATTTGAACCTAACACATTTCTTTTAATCTTTCACAACAGAAGTCGATATTAAGAGAGTTTGGTAGCTAGTTACCTTTAAGAAACTTTTACGATTGTGCCCTGAGAAAAACTTTAGATTAGGGTAGAAGACACACATAGCCTGGGGTAGTAACTCCTGAAGCGAGAAAATAATAATAATAATAATAATAATAATAATAATAATAATAATAATAATAATAATAATAATAATAATAATAATGACCTTATAGTCACCAAAGTTAAGCGCCACCTTCTTGGTCTCTCTGTGCGCATGGGAGACCTTGGATTTACAGATCCTGTAGTGATCTCATCTTGTGAATACGAGGCTTCGGTCAAAGTTTATCGCGCAGAATGCCTATTGTTCTCGGGACATTTACTTCCAGTTCAACAAAGTTCGTAGATCTGTCATATTACGCGCAATCATGCATAGACTCTATGAAAGCGCTTCAACCATTGGTTGCCAAGAATGCACGACGAAGCTCATCAATATGTTGTAGGTGGCAAACTAAACAATGAATGCAGCACGCTATTGTTTTCTCCTTTTAGCTCTTTTGTTTCGCAAAATCGCGAATATGCGCATATTTCACAGTGAACGTTCAAATCATGAGAATACATACACTTTGGTTTATTTTGTTCAAAAGTTAAACCACAGAAAGGAAGGTGAAATTTTCCACTTATTCAACGCGCGTGCGAGATCTCTAATATTAGAGCTCTTATATTCCTGCAAATTTTGCTTTCAATTTACCACATTATGTTACTAGCTATATGCACCACACCGGTAAAAAGGAGAGTAAAAAAGAAAAAAAAAGAAAAATAAATAAGGTCCCGAAAAATTACTTTAAGGGGATTTGAACCCGGACCCTCCAGATACGTTATAACTGAAAATAAATGTCTCTATCCACTGGACCACCTCGGTAAGCGCTGACAATTGAAGTTTAAAAGTGGTATAAATTCCTTCTCTATGGTGATTGGCAGTTTTCAAGGATGATTTGTTCATTTTTGTTTTTGTTATTGTTGTTATTGTTGTTGTTTTAATTTCCGTGTAGAATTGAAATATTTAACTGATCGAAGCCAGACGTAAAACTTACAATAAACCCATTAATATTCTTTCAGGCCTGGCCCATGCCGGGGAACCTTTAAGAAATTTATGAACTTTCGATCTCGCGGCTACCGTCTGAACAGTATGACTGTACTATTCTCTCCCTGCTCGTAAGATGTCTTTTCATCGGTCGGGGTAAACATAAACACAACATTGTTTATCATTATTTCCATTGTTTTAGGTTAGGGTAGCAAACCATTTGGCTTTTAGCGTTAGAAGAACTGCTACATGAAAAACAATATGGCCGCCAAATACATCCTTGATCATCCTTTTAGCTTTGAAAGTTCTCCTTTATTAGCAAACGTTGAACATTTATTTCGGCAAACAAACGGTTAAGTTAAAAAAGGATTTTACAAGATTCTCAAAAGTAGGTCTCCTTTTCGATTTTAATTTGCAATATTGGTCGATTTAGGCAACTTTTAAACTTCTGCCTCAGTTTTCGTCTCCATCTGCTCTAAAAATGGAATAATAATTACTCAGGGGTAATACAGTGTAAAGATTTGTAGAGAAAAACAACAAAAACTTGAAGGTTTATTAAGAAAAATGTACTTTAAAACAAACTAAAATATTCAAAACGCTCTGATCACGTGACTGATGACGTCATGACCCTATTTTGGTAACGGAGAAAAATGTCAGGTAGAACATTACTTTCCTGAAAATTTTCTCTGCCGTGTGATGAAACGTCAACTCTCTACAGCCCTCGGCCTAGTTTCCCGACTTTTTCGCTCATGATCATTGCCCCCTTAATTTTTAAATGCCGGACGTCAACTGGTTATTTTTAAATGCTGCACACTACCAAAACCTCAAATATACTATTTTATTTTAACCCAATAATGAAATCTTGTCACTGCAACAACAACTCTTAATTCAGCAATGGTCACGTGTCTGATGGCGTCATCACCCTAGATGAAACATGAGAAGATATTTTAGGGCAAATGTTATCTTGTTGTGGTCTGACAATCTTCTCCCTATAAAATTTTGAAAGTTATAAAGCTTTCCAAAAAAAGTTGCCTCAAAGGATTCTAGGATGTTTTTTTTATCTATTTATTTATTTTTATGTTAATTATAATTGACTTTTATAGTTATTACATCTTGCTATGCTGACGCTTGGTTCTAACCCTTTATTCCCCGCATTAAGGAGGTATTCTGTGGACGAACTTATTGCTATTTATTATTATTTTCTTTAAGGGGTGGAGGATTCTAGCTTGCCACCCAGGGTTTGTCTTCTTCCCGCTCCGGTACGTGGCCCATGCAAAGGGTCTTTTCGACGATATTTCTTTCATGCAATAAGTGGACAGTGCAATGAATTCAGCTATGGGGGTTGCCGTGGAAACCAAAACAACTTTTTAACCAAGTTAAGCTGCGAGCAAAAATGTCTCGGTGAGAAGATTTAACTTAAGTTCATAAGCTCATTAAAAATTCAAAAAGAAAACAAACTAAAGAATTTTAAAATGTTTAAACCTTAAACATTTTAGAATGTTTTAACCCCCCATAAGGTTTTTCTGACTTTTTTTCCTAAAGGATGGAACATCAGCACCTGACGTTTTCAGTAGCTGTTCGTTCATCCCTAGCGCAGATTTTGAGGGCTGTTTAGTGATGGTCAGTTGCTATGATTCCGAGATATGACCTCATAAGTAGCAGGTGGTCAAGCCAATTTTGGGTGAAATTACATGTTTTTTCAACTTCGTTCAACAATAACAGTAAATCTTGTGGCTAAAATCATGCAAAGTGATTATTTATGTGTTATTTTTCATGTAAAGCACAAAAAAAAAAACATTTCTCGCAGTTTTAACCTGATTTCTAATTCCTTTGTGCCTTAATCCAGATTCAATTGAACACACCTTTTTATATTGTCAAGAGTCAAAGGAATTCTTTTCCAAAACTTTAAGGTGGCTTAATAAATATCACAAAGAGAACGTACAACTTTCACACAAGCAAATTTTATTTAACACGTTCGATGACTTCCTTCCAATGCAAATGCCAATTTCAACTCAACGCAAACTGCGTCTATTGGTTTTACTACAAAAGAAATACCTGTATACTTGCAAGAACATTGTAACGAAACCTAATTTAGAGGAATTTTTACGTAAGCTTTTTGAACAATATCGCATTGAAAATTGTGGCAAACAATGTTAAGTATATGTAGCAACTGACAGTTTTTTTATTTATTTTCCAATACTTTTTATTTTTATTGTAATTTGTTTTGTTACTTACTGACAGATTTATTTACTTACTTATTCTTTTACTTTCTGCTGTGTATTAATGTTGTTAATTTGTTGTCAATAAAAAAAAAAAAAAAAATCTTGGTAAAATCCAAGAATGGTGGCCAAGATGGCTACCATTTTTGGTGACGTCACTGGCCTCCCGCAACGCCACCACCCATAAAATATACCTCATCTTGTTAAGAAGATCAAAGGCTTTCCACTAAAGGTAAAATCATTTCAAAATACTGCTGCAGCATATCTAAAACCCTAACCCTAACCCCTAATCCCTAACCCATATACCAGAATAAATGGCTTTAAAACATTTTGACCTTGAGAGCCGCATGCATACCTGTATAGCCCTAAAATCTCAGCAGAGCCATTGAGATTCACTTGTATACTTTCTGACCCCAATGCACCAAAGGGTGTCGCAGAGGGTGACGCTGGGTGACAGGTAACCATCATTTAATTTTTACAGGTGGGAATGCACCAGCTAAATGCGACTGGCCCACTGGCTTCTGCAACTACTACAAAACTCCTTGTCCATCGAATACGAAAGAGTGTAATGGGAGATGTACTCTAAGAACAAACCGCTGCTGCTGTCGTGTTACACCCAAACCAACAGGTACGAGATTTATAAGCGGGTCGCGAATTCAAACACGAGGAACAGTTGTTTTATGAGGTTTGAAAATTCGAGTGTAAGAAGTATTAGACAACATATCAAGTAAGTTTAGTTAATACCTTTTGAATGTTTTTACTGGGATGTATTCTACGCTGTACTAAGCATTTAAAGAAGATCACCTAGTATCTCAGGCTAAGTTTAATTCCCAAACTCCGAGCAGCTGGTCATTTGGCAATAAGTCGTACTCTTTCTGGGCCGTATTGTGAAATAAATTCTAGACTAAACGGCTTCAAAAATCCCAATGTTTCGCGGCGGCAGATGTCTTACTAGCAATAAAGCACATTTACATGATACAGCTAATCCCTGGGAAATTATATTGCAAGCGCTTCTGACTGTGAGCAAGGGCTGCGTAGCATTTCGTATCACTTTTTTCTACAGGTGGACTTGAACCGGGCAAGTGTGATTGGCCTACAGGAGTGTGCACCTACATCCACGATGATTGCCCTCCTCGTACGAGGCTTTGTGCTGAAAATAATAAGGGATGCAAACTGGCCACAAACCACTGCTGCTGCTTCATCAAAAAATGAACTGGTAAGGGCTTGATAAACGTGTTCTATAATACGGAAAGGAACACTTTTTAAATAATTTTAAAAATTTGAACACGTAGCAAGTATGGGCTGAGAGAGGTATTTCTTTCAGTTTTTATATATTTTTTTTCTCATAAGTACAGAGTATATCCATGTAAGTTACCTCATTCTATTAGAAATTTTTTTTTCTTATATCAATCTCCATTTTTTTTTTCAGTGTGATTTGCCAAACAGAGGTTACCCTTACCAAGAAATGCCGAAACTCCTGCACTAAAGGATAAGAAAAAAATAAATAAAATAAATAAAATAAAACAAAATGAATTAATTAAAGAATATCAAGGATTTAATTTTACGCATTTTTTTTTAAGTCGTGGAGTTCAAGAAAGGAGCATTTGGTTTAAGAATTAGCGGAACAAATTAATTTAGTTACAGTTATGAAGTTATGATGAAAAAACGTAAATAAACATATTTGAAAAAAAATATATTTATATATGTGTTTCCTTTTTGACCACCGACTTTCTGGTCATAAAATATGGGGGGAAAAAACTTTAAAAGCGAAAAAAAAAAATGTCTTCCAATATAACGTTAAAACAAAATTACCAACCAAAGTAATAGGCTATTAAAAATACAAATGTCACTAACTGAGTTCATCACGTCTAGTATGTATCTGGTTTTTTTTTTTTTTTTTTTTTTTGACAAAGCAATGGCATTAGAACCTCGTGGTGTAAATAGACGTGATGAACTCAACTATAAATATTAGTGGAATTTATATCATTTCGCGTATGTAACGTTCATCTTATATCTGTATTCATTTTTGTCATTAATTTTTCAGCAATCGTTGAAGATTTGTGTTGCAAACCGAAATATCGGACAGATACGTGTAAGTTATTTTTGATATCATTGTCCCGGCCGTAAAGATCAGTTTACCATTTTAAAATTAAAATTTTGAATTGAAGATTTTACTGATCGAGGTCTGCTAAAGATCCGGCCGACCTCCTGATAAAAAAAAAGCCAATAGCCAGTTACCATGACCCCACGCTTGGTCAAAATAATACGTATGAGAAATAACAGGCAAACACCCAGCCAGTAATGTGCCGTAGTGTCATAACAATTTTATTAAATCACACATTATTTGCTAAACAAATGATATTTAGGTTTTACATGAATTTAAAACTAGTAATCAACGGTGTTCCCTTTTGCCACATTATCGTCTGTCGTGTTGCGCTGGAAATTAACAAAATTCAACGTAAGTCTGTTAATGCTCATAAACGCTCAGAGTCGAGGACAGTTGAGGGTTAAAACAGTGGTTATAGACCCATCTTCCGGTAAACTTTCTATTGCTGGTAACCATTTACGGTGGTATTATCTCCGATACAGGGCAATCAAGAATCACCAGGAAGTTATTTAAGACCAAACAACTTGCAATTATTCATCGCATAGAATGCCCGGTCACATCCGGGAATTTAACAGGCTAGAGC